GAACAATCCAGCCTTGCTGGCATTGGTCAGCAGCCACAGGAGCCAACAGAAGCAATTTCGTCCACTAGAGGGAACCCAGCTTCTCATATTGTTCCCTAAACAAACAGAAGCACAACAGTGAACGACACCAGAAAGACAGATGTTCACTGTGGCGGCATAAATACTAGAATTGGAATGATATGGAGCAGATTAGCATGACCCCTGTGCAAAATAGGAAAGTGACAGAAACCTTTGTGCACGTGTAAGGGACCCAAGTGTCCAGGCAAAGGAGAGAGAGGATGGGAAAATAAGCACACTCCAGAGCTGCACTCTGCTTCTAGGTCACCATAATATTTGTATGCAAAAAAAATTTGACCACATTTCAAAGCATGTCTTTTTCCTGTGCAAAATAAATTAAAAGACAATGTTCTATTTCATGTAGTTAAAAAAAATCCCCATATTTTTATAGAAGTCATTAAGATTGCTACTGAAAGCCGGGAGCAGTGGCTCAAGCCTGTAATTCTAGCACTTTGGGAGGCGGCGGCGAGAGGATTGCCTGAGCCAGGGGTTCGAGACCAGACTGAGCAACATGGCGAGATCTCATCTCTACAATAAATCAAAAAATTAGGTGGGAGTGGTGGCACATGGCTGTTTGGAAGACTGAGGTGGAAGGATCACCTGAGCACAGTAGGTCGAGGCTGCAGTGGTCGTGGATGTGCCACTGCACTCCAGCCCTGCTGACAGAGTGAGACTCTGACTCAAAAAAAAAAAGATTGCTACTGAAAACAGTTTATTTCCTTACAGGTCAGAGCTACAAGGTCTGTTCATAACAAATGTTGCCTGTACCTAGAATTAACTGCCAGTTAGCCACAAAACAAGATACATTATTTGCAAGTATAAGTAATTATTTAAAAATTCATTAAATCAATGCTCAAAAGAACCACAGGTAAAACTTTTAAGGCAGCTGTGAAACAGAAACTTCCAGTGGTTAACCATCAAGTGGTTCTTGAAATGAAGACAAATCAGTTTTTTAATTTAAAAACTTCTTTTTTGAGTCAGGCCCTCACTCTGTCACCCAGGCTGGAGTCTGCTGGCACAGTCACGGCTCACCACAGACTTGACCTGTTGGGTTCAGGTGATCCTTCTGCCTCAGCCTCCCTAGTTGGAACTAAAGGTATATGCCACCACGCCCAATTAATTTTTGGTTTACTATAGAGACATGGTCTTGCTATATTACCTAGGCTGGTCTTGAACTCCTGGACTCAAGCATCCTCCCACCTTGGCCTCCCAAAGTGCTAGGATTATAGGCACGACCCACTGTGCATGGTCTCATTTTAAACATTCTTTTAATTATTAAACAATAAAAGTCTACTACAGAAGTTTAAGAAAATGCAAATAAGCATAAAAAGGAAGGTTTAAAAATCAACTTTAACCCCACCACTAAGAAATAACTACTCTATGTGTGTATGTATCCTTCTGATTTTTTCTGTGCAATCATCTATATTTTTAATCTATAAAAGTTGAATCTTAGCTGGGCTCGGTGGCTCAGCCTGTAATCCTGCGCCTTTGGGAGGCTGAGGTGAGTGGACTGCCTGAGCCCGCGGGTTCGAGACCTGCCTGGGCAGGCGAGACCTCATCTCTACAATAAATCAAAAAATTAGCCGGGCGTGGTAGCACATGCCTGTAATTCCGGCTACTCGGAAGGCTGAGGCGGAAGGATCGCTGGAGCCCAGCAGGTCAAGGCTGTGGTGGCCGGGAGTGGCCACTGCACTCCAGTCTGGGCGACAGAGTGAGACTCCAACTCAAAAAAAAAAAAAAAAGTTGAATCTTCTAAATTACTTCTTCACCTTTCTCTATATACATTATTACATAAAATATACACATTTATATATACAAGTTTTTAATGGTTATATAGTATTTCACTGTATGTACTACACCATAATTGTCTTAAACTTTATTTATTTATTCATTTTTATTTATGAGTCTTAATCTCATTGTGTTGCCCAGGCTGGAGTGCAGTGGCACTATCATTGCTTACTATAGCCTCCAACTCCCAGGTTCAGGTGATCCTTCTGCACCAGCCTCTGAAGCAGCTGGGACTACAGGTATGTGCCACCACACTGGGCTAATTTTTCTATTTTTTGTGGAGACTAGGTCTCGCTATGTTGCCCAGGCTTGTCTCAAGCTCCTAGGCTCAAACAATCCTCCCTCCTCCGCCTCCCAAAGTGCAAGCAGGAGTCACTGTGCCCACTGTGAATTTTAAAGCTTTCCTTACTATTGATATTCAAGTTATTTCCAATCATTGACTGTGAAAAGCCCTTTAAAGGGTTCCTCTCTTCCTATGTGATGTTGCCACAAAAGTAATTCTGACACTTATGTCCTTAGAAAAGGACACAGACCATGGGAAGCAGGAAGAAAGAGAGGCAAGGAAGGGAGTTCTCAGGTTCCTTCACTATAAAACACTATTGATGGCTGGGTGTGGTGGCTCATGCCAGTAATCCCAGCACTTTGGGAGGCCAGGACAGGAGGATTGCTTGCGCCCAAGAGTTCAAGACCAGCCAGGAGGATCACTTGAGCCCAAGAGTTCAAGACTAGACTGGACAACACAGAGAGACCCTGTCACTACAAAAAACAAAAAAAATTAGCCAGGCATGGCAGCGCTTGCTTGTAGTTCTAGCTACTCTGGAGGCTGAGGCAAGAGGATCACCTGAGCCCAGGAGGTTGAGGCTGTGGTGAGCCATGATCATACCACTGTACTCTAGCCTGGGTGACAGAGTAAGACCTTGTCTCAATAAATATATAACATATATATATATATATATATTTAAACCACCAGGTCATTGCTTTGCTAAACTCTGGTCAGGTCACGTGGCTCTTTGGGCTATGGCAGCCATGTTTTCCTAAGCTTTGGCCCGTTCCCCCACCTTGGGGAGGTGAATCTCTTCTCTAATTTACTTTCTAAATAAACTACATTTTCCAATCTAAAAAAAAAAAAAACATCAATTATATTATACAACCTAAAAAAACTCAGTTGATTGTGGCCCAAGTTCTTCCACCCGGAAGCCCCTGGCCTGTCTTCTGCTTCCCACGGTGTGTGTCCTCCTCCATGGGGCATTTGTTCTCACATGCACAGAAGCTCCCATTTCTTCTCTCTCTTCTCACACGACTTTCTCATTCTCCCAGTGTACCTCCTGAGTGTGTAGGTGTGGAAGGGAAACTTCCCAAACAGTCCCAGCCCCCAACTGGTATTTCAGAAGCACGTGGGCCTTTATTCTGACAATGAAATTCCTACTCCTGCAGAAACACGACCAGTGCTGGAAGCTCCCAGGCTTACAGCAGCACCCTGACGATCTAACACTCAGGCATCCCTCCCTTGGAAAGCATCCTGCATATCACAGGGTTAATGGCCCAATTCTTTATTATGCTCCCGGTCCACACCCATCACAAGACACCCTGCCCAGGAAGGCGAGAATGAGAGGTTATTGTTAAGACAGAATGAATGAGACAATGTACAGTTCTGTTCTTCTGACCTGACAGTGTGACCCAGGCAGAAGCACTGGGACCAGAGCAGGGCCCCCGGCTGGCCTCCCTGCATCCTGGCACGGCTGCCTGCTTGTGCTGTTGAGAAAGGAACCTGCCTAAAGTCCCTCCCCAGATACCTCACCTCCAAGAACCCCAGGGGCAGAGGATGAGCTCGAAATGCCACCAAGGACATGCCGCTCTTGGATCCAATTCCTGGCTGTCCTTCCTGTCCCAGGTACCCATGAGAGTGAAGTCATGACCCGTTTTTGCTTCTTTAAGATATAAATTGTGGGCCGGGCTCAGTGGCTCAGCCTGTAATCCCAGCACTTTGGGAGGCCAAGGTGAGTGGATTGCCTGAGCCCGGGGGTTCAAGACCTGCCTGGGCAACTTGACGAGACCTCATCTCTACAATAAATAAATTTTAAAAATTAGCTGGGCATGGTAGCACACACCTGTAGTTCCAGCTACTTGGAAGGCTGAGGCAGACGGATCACCAGAGCCCAGCAGGTTGAGGCTGCAGTGGCCGCAAGCAGCCACTGCACTCCAGTCTGAGTGACAGAGTGAGACTCCAACTCAAAAAAAAAAAAAGATATAAATTGTGGCTAGGTTCGGTGGCTCATGCCTGTAATCCCAGTACTTTGGGAGGCCAAGGTGGGGGAAATGCTTCATGTCATGAAGTTTAGATCAGCGTGGGCAACATAATAAGACCCCATCACTACAGAAATAGAAAGAAAAAAAGCTGAGCGTGGTGGTGTATGTCTGTAAGTCTCAACTACTCAAAAGACTGAGGTGGGAGACTCGCCTGAGACAAGGAGTTTGAAGACGCGGTGAGCTATGATCGTGCCACTGTACTTCAGCCTGGGTGACAGAGTGAGACCCCAACTCAAAAAAAAAAAAGGAAGAAAAGACATAAATGGTGATGAGCTTCTGAGAATGAGGTGCCACGCTGAGAATGCCATCTGTGCCAGGAGATGGGAAAGAAGCTCAGTTGCTTAGCTCTCTGATCACAAATGAGGGGTTGAAGAGAACTGTGAGTCACAGCACTTTACACCAAGCCAGTGATACATCCTGTCCCACCAAGAGCTGCCCTGTCCTTCCCAGCGCTGAGGAGGAGGAACTTCCGTGGAGGTGTTTGCAAGGCAAAGATGTGTTTTGTTCCCTGGCTTGGCGCTTGCTTTCTGACAAAACCACGTCTCTGAGAGTTGATGATGAAGACTCTTCTCAGAGACCAGAGCCAAGAGCCAAAAGAAAAGGTCACAGAAGAAACCAGAATCCTTCTCTCTGGAGTTCAAAGCCTTGTTCTACCCACCAGGCCTCTACAGTGGAGGCGGTACAGGAAGTGGCTGGGGGTCGTGAGAAGGGCAAGGGGTAGGGCTCGTGAGAAGGGCAAGGGGTAGCGCTCGTTTTGTTGCATTCCAAAGAAATAAAACAGAAACAAAGAGAACCCGAAACTCAAAATACAATTTCAGGGAACGCCAGGTTCCACAAACAGGACTCACTCTGAGGCCACGCCCTGGGGGATGGGCTCGTCTAGCAGCTCCAAGCTGTGCAGGATCCAGTAGCAGAGCCATGGGCGGCTGGCGTCCAGACACTGTGAGAGGGACAAGGACAACACACCCCTTATTCAAAATTATGCCAAGCCGCTGCTGACAAGGCCACATCTGTCCTACTCCTGGCAGCCTATTGGGGGGAGGAGGGCACCCTTGCCCGAATAACAAGCAGTGAATGAAGGACGTTTTGCTTTGTGCCTTAGCCAGCAGCTGTGAGAAAAGGCACCGTGGTAAGAAAAGGTGACCTTGAACCCAACGGGTCCCTCCTCAGCTGGCATCTAAGGAAGACTAGGCAGTCAGTATGGGCCCAGGGAGGTATGTGTTCTCAGAAAGGGATTTCCTGGGCTAACTCAATCATTGATTCAACAAATATTTTCTGAGTATCGACCTGTGCCAAGCACTGTGTTAGACAATGGGGGCATGATAAAAAAATCTCATTTTTGTCCTTGACATTCCTGGAATATAGAATGCGTGGTTATCTGCAGGGGAAGAAGGTACCAGATAAGACACATACACATGTCTTTCTGGAACAAGGCAGAACATAACACGTGCACACACACACACCTGGATAAATGCTGTCATGGCAGAAACGAAGTCTCGAGGGAGCACCTGGAAGATACTGGCTAACTCTGCCTGGGGAAGCTGGGACAGGCTTCCAGAGACGATGTGTGGACAGATCTTGATCTTAACCCAGGTTCTAAGTGGTTACTGAGCATTCAAGGTCAGGCAGGGTGGGTATTAGTACTGCTCCCATTTTACAAATTAAAAATATATGAACAAGGTGCAGAGATGAGTGTTTTCCGGATTACAAAAATAGTAAATGTCAGAGCTGAGATAGGAACCTAGGTTTTCAGACTCTCGATTCAGTGCTCTTTCCGCTCACCCAGCTTCCCTGTTCAAAAATGTGCTGATGTTCTGAGCTGTGGCTAACCTGCTCCCAGGGGATAGTCTGGTGGGCAGCTGAAGACACTGAGGACACTGCTGTGGCCACACTTTGGGTCCTAGCTCTTCCTCTTATTAGCTGTGTGCCTTTAAGAAAATTACTTCATTTTACCTTCAAAAAAAATCAAGACTGACCCATCTTATGGAACAATTATGGGGATTTTCTGAGAGAAGGCCCAGTGAGCTTTAACATACCATTCTGTAAATTGTTAGCTGCTCTGGTATGAACTGTATGAGGGCTGACTGGACCCTAACCACTGTGGACTTGAGGCAAGGATTGAAAACTAACAGAGCCCACAGGCCAAACCTGTTTAACTGAAATTGGTTGCAACATTTATTAGGAGAGTTACATAAAATTCTGGATTTCCAGGCTGGGCTCAATGGCTCATGCCTGTAATCTTGGCACTTTGGGAGGCTGAGGTGAGAGGATTGCTTGAGCCCAGGAGTTCAAGACCAGCCCAGGTAACACAGCAAGACTTCATTTCTAAACAAAAATTTAAAAAATTAGCAGGGTGTGGTGGCATGCACCCATAGTCCCAGCTACTTGGGAGGCTGAGGTGGAAGGACTGCCTTGAGCCCAGGAGGTAGAAGTTGTGGTGAGCCGTGATCATGCCAGGCACTCCAGCTTGGGCAATAGAGTGAGACCCCACCTCAAAAAAAGAAAAGAAAAAAAGTAATGCACTGGAAGAAGTGGTGGAGTTGGAAAATTTCTAACCATCATGATATAGACTTATTAGGTTTGGGCAAGAATTCTTAACAAATGTTAACGTGAGAGAGAAATAAAAAAAGAAATCAGAAAATTAGATCAGTTTATTGGGCAAACGGTGAGGGGTGAACAGGTAGCTTTTGTCTAGCTGTCAGGGGGCCCAGGAGAAAGCACATGAATGCCCCCAGCCGTGATCCAATAGTGGGAGAAGGCCCCACCACACAGGGTGCCCCCTGGCTCTGGAAGAGATGGGTCCTGCCCTTCCAGAAGTGGGGGCCCCAGCTCTGTAACAGCACCCTGCCTCCCACCAGAGCCACAAACTACCAAGAACATGTCTGCAACAGGTGAGTCCCAATAGCCCTCCCCGTTTCAATAGAAGAGGAGGAAGACATGGCTGGTAACTTGGCCATGAGTTTACCTCATAGGCATCTGTCAGCTGTCGAAGGCCTCTTTTCAGGTAATGGAAGTGCTTCTCCCTCTGCAAAACAAGCCTGGAAAGACAGACAGCATGTAAGCCCATTCCCATAGCTTATGCAGTCACCACATGCATGTGTACACACGTGCACACACACAAGTGCCCATGCATGAACCCTCAGCTTTAGGATGTCCCCCCTTGGTCCCTGCATGGGTAAGCAGCAATTTCTTTAGCTCCAAATGGCAACTGAGCCAGAGAGAAGAAGAAAGAGGCCCTCATCTGACTGTCTCTCAAGTGGCTGAAAATCACACCTGCTGACATTTCAAGTGAGGTTTTCTCCTGAGGGTGATGCCTTTCGGCTAACTGAAAGGCTGTGATGAGGACATGTAGCCAGGCAGCAGCGGACCCGCGAAAAGTTCCTCTGGCATCTAACTAAGGATAGATGTCTTCGGACTCCCTGTCCTGGAAGCAGTCTAAATCTGAGCCTCACCACTACCCTGCCTCTGCTAGCTACTGCCGTTACAGTTGCTTCTCCTGGGATCACTTCTCCAAAGTCTGTACTTATTGGAGGTTCTATATTTGATTATTTATGGCAGGGATTTGCCATTTCAAATGCCTGCAGTGCTCAAGAAATAAGAGGTTACATATGCATGGGAAGGCAGCATAAATAAGTGGGGCGGGCCGGGGGGACACGGAGGTGAACTGGAGGCCCCAGGCTTCCACCTGCCCCTCAGGTATCCCTCCCCGAATTCCACCTCCCATGCGTGACCCATGGTGCAGACCAGAGAATCGTGTCCATGTTCTGCAGCCAGTCACTGCCCTCAGCTCTGAAGTAACAAGCCTGGCTCTAAGATGGAATGTGCCGCCCGTGACCACCTGCATAGCAGGACACAGAATGGAGGCTGACTTCTTCCCAGCCTCACAGAAGGGGCCCATGTGACGACAGAAGGCTAAAAAAGAATGGAATGTCAAGGCATTCACTGCTGACTACAGAAACAAAAGGAAAGAGGCAGAGCCCGGTGGCTCATGCCTATCATCCCAGCACTTTTGGAGGTCAAGGTAGGAGGATTACTTGAGCCCAGGAGTTCAAGACCCAGCGAGACCCTGGCTCTATAAACACCTTTTTTACGTTACAAAAGAAAAGAGAACCTTCCTCTGGGAGCCGATCCAACAATTGTGTATTAAAACCAGAATCAGATCTTTAATGCAGTCTCTACCTCAAATGAGCTTCCAATTCAGAAGTAAGGTGAGTACATAAATGGCTACCTTACAGAGAAGACACGAGTAAGCTTCAGAAAGGAAAAACAGACACTACTGCCAAGACCTAAGAGCAGGGGCAGCTCATGAGAAGGATGCTCAGGGCAGAGTGTGTGGAGGAGGTAGAAGTGAGGTGAGTGGCCCCAGCAGAGGGAGAAAACACAGTTTCAACAGCTGCAGGGAACTGAAGGCAACTCTCACCCAGAGCAGGGACAGAGCAGGCAGCAGGAGTAACCGGTGGGGTAACGTGGCAGCAGTACAGGAAGGAAAGAGAAATGAAGAAAAAGCAGCTGAGAGCTTTTTACAGAGGCGCAGGATGCTAGCTGAGGAATTTCTATGCAATTGAGCAGGCAAAGGGGAAGCCCTGAAGGTTTCTGAGCTAAGAAAAAAATGACCAGAACTGTGCTTCAGAAAAAGTATCTGAGGCCGGGCACGGGGACTCACAGCTGTAATCTTAGCGCTTTGAGAGGCCAAGGTAGAAGGATCACTGGAGCTCAGGAGTTTGAGGCTGCAGTGAACTATGATCCACAGCACTTCAGGCTGGGCCACAGAGTAAGACCCTGCCTCTAAACAACAACAACAAAAAGCATCTGACAACAGTGAGTACTCAAGCAGGGTAAGAAGCTGTGAGGGGCTGGCCGGGGCGAGGGGAGGCACTTAGGGCCCTCACTAGGTGGTGACCCATGACCCGCTGCTTCTTGGCACGCGGACTTTGGGATGCTGGAGTGTGTTCGGGAGAGGATATCGACTGGGCTGCTGGGAATGCACGTGCGGCTTAGGTTACACACACAGACGGGGAACCACGAATCTGCACACAGGTGACAGGTGACGCGGCGGGAGGAGATGAGAGCAGTGAAGAAGATCTGAACACAGGACTGTGGAGAGACCCATCTTTCAGGACTCACAGGAGGATGAGGAGCCAGAGAAAGAGAGAAATAAGGCCAGGCACAGTGGCTCACACCTGTAATCCCAGAATTTTGAGAAGCTGAGGTGGGAGGATTGCTTGTATCCAGGAGTTTAAGAACAGCCTGGGCAAGAGCAACAGAGAGAGATCTCATTTCTACCAAATAAATACATTTTAAAATAAATAAATATGTAAAAATTAGCTTGATTGTGAGATACGTTCCTTTTTTAAAAAAGAAGATAAATAAAAGAATTTACATATTCAGGAGAAGGGCAGAGGGGGCATCCCATCACAGGCCATACCAGAGGAGAGAGTTCGGGAAGGTGATAGGGCAGATGCTGCCACAAGGCTGAGAAACACAACAGCCACAGTGCGGCTGGTGACATCTGAGAGTGCGCAGAGCAGTGCTGAGGGCAAGTGATAAAGTGGAGGAGGCCAGCCCCAGTCTCTCCTTCAGGAAGGCCCAGTGGTCAGGACACAGGGAGAGCCCATCTGTGGGCAGAGGGTCTGGCACAGGGGCAGGTGCTGCTCTGTCCACCAGAGGTACACACCGGTATGTAACTGCAGGGAGAGCCCTGTCTGGTCAACGCTGAGACCAGGAAGGTTATGGGCTCTGCAGCCATGGGAAGGCGGGGAGGGTGGGAAGCTCCTCCCAAGGAGAAGAGCATTGTGGCTGAGGTGGAAGGGCGCAAGTGAGCCAGGCTAAGGGCAAGGGACACCATGGCACGTGAGTTAGCTCAGTCCCTCTGGAGCAAAAGTCCCAGGGAATGAGAGGGAACTCAGGTGCTGGGAATGCAAGGGCCCAGAGAAAACCCACCTAGGTAAGTCCCCAAGGAGGAGGGGGGAGGGCTGGATGAGCTGGGTAATAAGGAAGGGTTCTACATTCTTGGAGCCAGAAGTGATGGGTGAGAGCGTGAAGCTGGCTGGAGAGAGGTCTTTGAAGTAGGAAGAGGAAATAGGAAACTCAGTGGGCCAACCTCGGTTTCCTCAGGAACTACAAGTCAAGGTCACGGGAGAGCTGTGGACTGGTCATAGTGATGGATGTGCCAGGGGCCTGCACTGAAGGCCAGGGAAATGGAGCTGCACACAGTGTTGGCGAAGCCAATCTGCGGCCCCAGAAAAAGCTGGGTTGCCGACACCCTGACCTTGGCGTCAAGCCTCCAGAGCTGTGAGAGGATCCACTTCTGTCTTTGAGCTGCCCTGGCTGGGGCACTTCATTATAGCAGTCTGAGCTGACCAGCACCCTCACCAGTCCGCCCGATTCACCTACTGGAAAGGTTCCTCTGTGCAGAAAGTTAAACAGAAAAAGCTAGAGCCTTCCCCCTCCCTGAACAATCCAGGCCCAAAGCCACTTGGTGAGGTGGAGCAGGACACGATGGCTCACGGGGGAGTTGAGGGGTACGTGGGTAGGGGGAGAGGGTGGGGTGGTCCTCTGGGGCATCCAGCGCAGGTTGGGGAGGAGCATCTGTGTGGCCGCACAGAGCAGTCAGGCAAACCAGGACGGCTACTGGAAGCCGGGTTTCCACTGGCTAAGGAGGGAATTGCAGGGTGAGGACAGACTTACAGGCACGGGTGTCCTGGACCGGTGTTTTTTCATGAGGGAGAGCCCTTCAGGGGCTTCGAGACCCTTTCGTGGGCCCCACCTGCTTCTCTCCACCTCATGGATGGCCTCCCTGAGCCACAGTCACACTTTGAGCCTCAAAGCCTGCTTTGAGCTTGGCTCTTTCCAAGGCATTTGCACATGCTGTTTCCTCTGCCAGGAATGCTTCACCACCTCCTAAATCACTCCCATCCATCCTACCTACCTTACAAGTCCCAGCTGAAAGGGACATTTCAGCAGGGCATGATGGCTTACACCACTAATCCCAACACTTTGTGAGGCTGAGGCGGGAGAATCGCTTGAGCTCAGGAGTTCAACCAGCCTGGGCAACAAAGCAAGACCTCATCTCTGCAAAAAATCAAAAAATTAGTTAAGGATGGTGGGAGGCTGAGGTGAAAAGATTGCCTGAGCCCAGGAGGTCAAGGCTGCGGTGAGCTGTGATCCTGCCACTGCACTCTAACCTGGGCAACAGAGTAAGGCTCCCAACTCAAAAATTAAATAAATAAAATTAAATTTTTTAAAAAGTCACCTTTGGCTGGGCTCGGTGGCTCAGCCTATAATCTCAGCACTTTGGGAGGCCGAGATGAGTAGACTGCCTGAGCCCATGGGTTCGAGACCCGCCCAGGCAATTTGGTGAGACCTCATCTCTACAATAAATCAAATTAGCCGGGTGTGGTAGCGCATGACTGTAGTTCCACCTACTTGGAAGATTGAGGTGGAAGGATCACTGGAGCCCAGCAGGGCGAGGCTGCAGTGGCTGGGGGCATGCCACTGCACTTCAGTCTGGGTGACAGAGTGAGACTCCAACTCCAAAAAAAAAAAAAAGTCACCTTCTTGGAGAGGCCTTTCCTGACTTCCCAACTAAAATCACACCCTCCCTGGGATTCTCTCTTGGCCCATCCCCCGGGTAACTGCATTTGTGATCAATGTCCAGTGTCCGCCTCCCCTAGGAGACTGAGAGCCTGGCTGGGGCCAGAGCCAGCCTTGCTCATGCCTGCTTCCTGGAGCCCAGCAGAGTGTCCGGCCCTTTGGATACCTTTCAGATACTGCAGCTGAATGAGTGATAACATGAACAAATGACTAGACAGGAATACAGCAGAGTGGGATGATAACAAACACACTTCCTTCCCCCAATACCTGGGCCACCCCTGAAAATTGTGCCTCTAGTTATCACAGAAGGAAGGGCAGGAATTTAGTCCATCCTGGCTCCTGGGAGCCTTCTAAGTTCACTAAAGTCAGCGCCTCCCTAGTCAAAAAGTAAACACCAGCCTGGACACAGTGCCTCACGCCTGTAATCCCAGCATTTTGGGAGGCT